CACACACACACACACACACACACACACACACACACACACACACACACACGACGTGATTTAATTGGGTCGTGGCTATTATCCGCTTTAGCTTAGTCTATTCAAACTACCACACACATACACACACACACACACACCCACACCCACACACACACACCCACACACACACACACACACACACTCAACTGGTAATGACTACTTCCCCTCCTTTCAAGTGCGGCAGCAGATTAATTATAAAGTGAAATGAAAGCAGTGTGTTGTGTGTGTGTGTGTCTGTGTGAGGCTGAGCAGCCAATCTCATCACTGAAGACTTAAGATGACATTACAGCACCTGACTTCTGTTCTACTACACGACGCTTCCTCTATTACAGACTATTTTATCACAATGACATCAGAGCTGAGGCTGCTGAGTCCAGACAAGTGTGTCCAGAGTCAAGACAGGTGTGTCCATAGTCAAGACAGGTGAGTCAAGAGTCAGGACAGGTGTGTCGAGAGTCAGGACAGGTGAGTCAAGAGTCAAGACAGGTGAGTCCAGAGTCAGGACAGGTGAGTCCAGAGTCAGGACAGGTGAGTCAAGAGTCAGGACAGGTGAGTCAAGAGTCAGGACAGGTGAGTCAAGAGTCAGGACAGGTGAGTCAAGAGTCAGGAGGAAGAGGAAGAGGCAATAGAAAAAGAAGAAGAAGAAGAGGAAACAGAAGTTTGGAACAAGTCCAGCTGAGTTACATCAGCTTTTTTCATGGGGAATCACGTAAAGTAGCCACCCGCTATGGCTAAGCCATTCCTTCAAACGTAAAGCTTTTGATAACTTTTAATCACAATGGTGTTGAGATTGTACTGACCAAATTTGAAGTGGATCTGACAAAGTCCCTAGGAGGAGTTTGTTAAAGTATAGCGACTAGAAATAGGCCAAAATCTATGGAAAAATGACAAAAATCAAAATGGCCGACTTCTGGTATGGTTTAGAGCAGAGGTCTTCAACAGCAGGGGGTCTGCGAAATCTTTGGTAGATTATACAATTTTTCACATACTTTTATTTTCCACAAATTGAAATGTCTTTAAATGCACAATAACATGAATCCAACATATTGTAGCGAATGGATAAATGGAGACAGAAGATGTTATCTTTCAGTCAGAAATGCACACATTCAGCAACACACAGGAGCTCTCTCAAGCTGGGCACCGGTTCACTCACAGCATGAGACTACCTAGACCTGTCCCTCCAAGCCTCCTGCACACAAAGAGGAGGACCCGCCCCTATCGCTGCTGTGCGAATTACGAGGGCGCATGTTACGTATATATATATATATATATATATATATATATATATATATATATATATACACACATTATTATGCCAAGTGTATGGACATTGTTATGAGCGACAATGGATCGTTTTGTAACTCGACCAAAAAAATCCACAAGCACAAGAGAGATACCCTCCACCTCAGGAAACATCGGTGAAAATGCAAGTGGCGAGGCGGCACCTGCTGCTGCTGATGTAGCAGCAGATAAGGGTAAGCGCAAACGAGAGAAGACCCGAAAATATACAGATAATTATCTGAAGTTTGGATTTACCTTCAAGGAGACAGTTGGCATTGAATTGTATGCAATATAACAGGTATGTTTATAAATCGCAGTGGCACGGCCACCCACTGAACCTTGTATCTAAAATAAAAACATGAATATATGAACCTGTGTATTATTTGAATAGCTTAGTATTGAATGCACAATAACAAGGTATGTTTATACATGGCACTAGGCCCAGTTTAATATAAAACACAATTTTATACAATATATAAAGTAGGGGGTCCCTGCTCCATCTCTATCTCAGTTTGGGGGTCCTTGGCCTGAAAAACGTTGAAGACCCCTGGTTTAGAGCATGGTCCCAAGAGACTTTTTTTAAAGTTTCTATGGGTTACATGTCCTTACCAAGTTTCATACATGTAGGTGAAACGCAGCGCTGGGGATGCTCTTTTGAAATATTGTAGGGGGCGCTATGGAGGCAATTTAAAATGGCCAAGCCAAAAACCCATATAAAATATGTCTTCCCATGACCAATGACACATGTACAAAGTTCCATGAGTTTTTGAGCATCCCAAGCCACTAAACCATCAGCTTCTTTTTCATGGCGAATCATGCGTTGCCACAGCAACAGCGTTCAACAAAAACTCACAATATTCATGATGATCCATCTTCAATGTCTTAAGGCTTTCCTTACCTGCCCTAGCGCTGCTTCCCTAACAGGAGTTTCCTTAACCCGCCCTAGCGCTGCTTCCCTAACAGGAGTTTCCCTAACTAAATTTGAGATTGATCTGGTTAACTGGCTAGGAGGAGTAAATAAAAGTATAAAATGTGACATTTTCTTTTGCCAGTAGGTGGTGCTATGAGGTACTGAAAATGTTGGCATTGATGTATGCTCAAACTTCAAGTAGAATCATGCATAATATGTAATGATTTGCCGATTGAATAATGTACCTTGGAATTATAACAACTTTATTGTTCATGCCGAATGAGGCAAAATGGCCGCCACGCCACGTCAAGGTTCTTCTATGAATTTGATGACTTTTCATCACAAAGGTCTGAAGAGCATCCTGACCAAATTTGAAATTGATCCCATTAATTCTGTAGGAGGAGTTTGTTAAAGTACAAAGGCTGAAAACTGCGAAAAGTGACAAAAAAGCACAACATGGCGTGTTTAATGTAGCGCCCCCTAGTGGTTGACTTAAATAAAAATGCCAGGCTATGTTACTGGATCCAATATGCACATATGCTGCAAATTTGGTGATTTTAGGACAAACGGTTGAGAAGTTATGTGTATTGATATATAAGCCACGCCCCCAAGGAGTTTATTGGTCCATATCTTGTAAACGCAAACAGATATCAAAAAGCTTTTAATAACTTTCAATGATGTAGATCCAATAATGATCTAGAGCAAATTTGGTAGCAATCAAACTCAGCGTGTAGGAGGAGTTTGCAAAAATGTGTTTTTCACAAAATAAAAAATGGCAGAAAATCGAAGGAGGTGGAGCTGTGAGGCTTTTTCGAATGCAACCTATATCAGATGGATATTTTCACCAGGCCTGACAAGTGTGCAGAATTTGGTGAGTTTTCGTGCACGGCAAGTCCCCCAAAAATGCTCCCAAAGTGGAAAAATAAAAATCAGAATAAAAACAAAAATCCTTTGAATTTCAATTGGGCCTTCGCTGGCCCGACGTTATCGGTTGCTCGGGCCCTAATAAGAAGAAATAGAAGTAGAAGTAGAAGAAGAAGAAGAGAAAGAGGAAGAAGAAATAGAGAAATATAAGAAGTAGAAGTTGAAGTAGAACAAGAAATAGAAGTAGAAGAAGAAGGCTGAAACTGAAATATAAAAGAGTTCACACCCTAGAGACTCTACTCTGAATAGGAGGGGTGGTATCCATGGTTACTGTCTTTAATTGAGGGGGCAATTAAACAGGCCGCAAAAAGACACACACACACACACACACACACACACACACACACACACACACCGTCCTCTCTGGGGACAGTGAGGTGTCTGGTTTTCCTACCCACAATCCATTGGGGTGCGTTCTCTTCAAAGAGAGAATTACTCTCCTTCTCCTCATCGTTACTCTCTTCATCTTCTCTGGTTCAGATGTTTTAAAATGTGTGACAGCTACGTTTCTCACTGGATGATCACATCAATAAACGGAACCAGAACCAGAACCCGGTCTGTTAGTAGTACAGGTAGTTCTGACCAATCACAGGCTTTAACTGCAGGTAAAACGTCTGTGTGGAGAAAACAAAGGGCATCATCTCACCACAGCTTTTTAGCTTCTTATTTAATTATTATATGTATTATAATTATAATCTATAATAATATTATAATTGTATTTATCTGCATTCATGTGCTGTTTACATCTGCATTCATGTGCTGTTTACAGAGATTCATCGTAAACTCCACTCTCTGGACAGTAAAGGATGACCAGTCCAAAGAAGAGGAGGTCTGGACCACATCAGACCACATCGGTCCACGACCAGGACCAGGTGTTGAGATGCTAACACATTAGCATATTAGCTGATGTGTCACCATCACCTTAAATAAAACTCTGTGGTCCAAAAGGAAGACATGAGACGAATACACTAAAAACTCAACATGTTTCATGACCCAGTAGTCTTCTTCACTGTTTATAACATTAATCCAGTAGTCTTCCTTATTGTTTATAACATTAACCCAGTAGTCTTCAT